AGCAGACAACAACAGAATCACCTACATCTACACCAGAGACAACTACGGAATGGCCAACATCAACTGCAGGGCAGACAACAACAGAATCACCTACATCTACGCCAGAGACAACTACAGAATTACCAACATCAACTGCAAAGCAGGCAACAACAACTGTGGAAGGAACTACATTTACAATAATGACAACTACAGAATGGCCAACATCAACTGCAGAGCCAACAACTTCTGTGGAAACTATGTCTCCTATAGAGACTACTACAGAAGGAACAACATCAACTACAGAGACATTAACTACAGTGTGGGGTACGTCTGCAATAGAGGCAACTACAGAAGGGCCAACATCAACTGCAGAAGAGACTACATCTACAATAGAGGCTACATCCTATGATCAGACAACTTTTACCGCAGAAACATCTTCCATTGTAGAGACAACAAATACAATTCCCACTCAAATGCCAACAACGACCCTGCCTCCAATTAATAGTCCAGGTAGGCATGTAAAGATATTTATAAATGTTCACTCCTTTTTCATGGGTTTATTGAGAATGTTGTTGTACCAGTACATGGTTCTTGAAATTACAAAATTATGTGTGGTTACAATCCTTTACTCAGTGGTTCCCATTTGTGGTTTGTATGCCCAGCCATAGTAAGTATTATAATTGTACAAATATAGCATGACACAAAGTAAAGGAAAGTTCAAGTTACAGTTGAATAAAGGTGATTTAAACTACTTGGTATACAGTTTTAAAAGGTTTCATAATTTTGCCACCCACTACAACTTTGACTGTGAAAAGAAAGTAAAAAAGTCAGTGTTACACTTTTGACTTAACTGACTTTCACCTTTTGCTGAAATATTTTATCACCTTGCATTTTGTCTAGTACCAGCGTATAATAGTAATTTAAAAAATAACCTGACTTTACACATCAATCTTCAAGGACTATTTTGATAGAATCAATCAATGTCAAATTGGCAACGAACTCTACTTACAGTACCAGAATCTCCTTTCAAGTTTGTCCCAGAGAAGCTTGATCTCAGTGTTCCAGAAAATACAAGCCTGGGTACAGGTGAGAACCTATAATTAATACCTTTACTTGTGACCCTTAAGCTTACTTGTAGGCTTCAAGTGCAAGTCAAATTAAAACTAAGTGTTAATTCTTATAAATATCTCTTAAATTTCTACAGTATCAGGTCATACTGTATAACTGTCAAATGCAGATGCATAAAATATTTTAACTGTCTATATTTTGAAGAAAAGGAGAAAACCTAACAGATATTGCCAGTGATATGTTTTTGTACAGACACAGTCATATCTCTCTATATCTTCCCATTACTTGAGCCTGTAAGCATAACAAATGCTAGTCAAGTTTGTCGGGTACATTTAATTATTCACAGGCAATGTCAGTAACTTCAAGTAATAACTTTTATTGTAAACCGTAATTCTCTATAATACATTCTGTCAAGTGTGAAGAGGCAGAGTAAGCCTTGTTTACTAGTCCGATTAAGAAGCCACTGATAAGGAAGCTGATGAAGCCATTGTCTTGGTTAGATACTAAAGTGTGTAATATGTAACAGATCGGCAGAATGTACCTGGGCAAGCGACAAGTGAACATTAAATGATTGAAACTGGTTATTGTTGTCAGCGTTGGATTTCCTCCTAGCGATTTACTTGTAACTATTTGTACCACCAGCGTAGGCGCTGGCGGTACACATGGTTTTAGTCCCGACCCGTATGTTCCGCCGACTCCTGCGGCTCTGCCGGGGCTGTCGCCATGTCACCGTTACCGCTTCTCCTCCTAGACTACAAGGGCCTGCGTACCATCTCTTGGATTTAGGTCACCTATAATCTCAACTCGTTCCACGTAAAATTTGGGCTTCATCAGTGCTGGGGTCTAGGTGTGGCACTCATTGCAATGCACCCTTGTCCAAAACGGCAAAATTAAATGCTAATTATCTACCCTACGGAAGGAATTATGGGAAAAATTTCTAGAGACAGCTGACCGAAAGTCATATTTGGAGATTTCAAATATGCCCTTGGATTTGACCTTTGACCTTTATTTCAAGGTCAAACAGGCCAAAATTTTCAAAAATATGAAATTTTTAAAGCAAAAAATTATTTCCGCTGATGTTCAGAAACTACCCAGACCTAACCAATAATATTATTGGAAAGTGTTCCCCTTAGGGTCATCTTTCATCTCCATGAATTTGGGGTCAATCGTAGCATTTTCACGGGAGTAGCGGCCATAAGATATCGAAACTGAAAACTGTCTCTAGTTCGGGAACCGTTAATGCTAGAGACCCATTCTTTTTTTGCATTTTGTAGAGCATGTAAAGCCCAACACTGGGAGTGGTCTCCGTTTTTTTGTATTCCATACGGTTTTCGAGTTATGCTGTATCAAAAAGTAATTTGTGGTGGTGAAAGCAAAATGTGCAGTACGGTAATGTATAATAAATTTTGAACACCGGGAAAATAAAACACAAGGCTTGGCAAGGCAGACAACTTCTGGTCTTAAATGACATTATTTCATGAAATTTGAACATCTGGAACTTCTGAGCACCTCCCATTTAAAGAATTTCAATCAAAATGACCTTTTCTTTATTTTAATTAATTTTTTCTGTAGGAAATTTATGGCACATTTTTGTAACTCCAAAATTGTAACATTTAGTCCCTTATATCTCCAAAACTGGCAGAGATAGGTCCATAGTTACTATTAAAGTTGAATAGGAAGTCATATACTGGCAATTTAACAGTGACCTTGAAATTGACCTTTGACCTACTTTTTACCATGAACTGAACTTTGCAAATTTTCGTTCCCTTTTATCTCCAAAACTGAAAAAGATACGCCCATAGTTACTATTGAATTTGAATAGAAAGTCATTAGAGGTAATTTACTGTGACCTTTAAATTGACCTTTGACCTACTTTTCACCATGAACTGAACTTCAGAAATTTTTATTCCCTTTTATCTCCAAAACTGGCAGAGATAGGTCCATAGTTACTATCGAACTTGAATAGGAAGTCATATACTGGCAATCTAAGTGTGACCTTGAAATTGACCTTTGACCTACTTTTCATCATGAATTAAACTTTGCAAATTTTCTTTCCCTTTTATCTCCAAAACTGGCAGAGATAGGTCCATAGTTACTATTGAACTTGAATAGGAAGTCATATACAGGCAATTTACTGTGACCTTAAAATTGACCTTTGACCTACTTTTTACTATGAACTGAACTTTGCAAATTTTCGTTCCCCTTTATCTCCATAACTGACAGAAATAGGTCCATAGTCACTATTGAACTTGATTAGGAATACACTAGCAATCTGTGACCTTGAAATTGACCTTTGACCTACTTTTTATGTTGAACTGCTTTTTGCATGTTTTCTGGCCTTTAAATCTGCAAAATTGGCAAAGAAATGCCCATGGTTGCTATTAAACTTGAATAGAAATTCATATACTGTGATATTGAAATTGACTTACTTTTTCACCATGAACTGAGCTTTGCATATTTTCTTGCCTCTCATATCTTTAAAACTAGCAGAGATGTGCCCATTGTTGCCCCTAGGTTTTCTCTTCTGTCAGCATATATGCACCACTGACAACACATTTCAAGAAAAACCTATAGGCCTTTAATCTAGAGAATACAGGAGTGATCAAGGGTAGGAAAATGCAAGTCAATTCGAAAATCTGCTTGATTGTACCATTTTTAGTTATATTTTTTTGCATATTTTGAGAACTCTTGTTGATTGCATTTTATAGAGCTTGTAAAGCACAAGACTGGTGATGGTGTCCCTTTTTGGAGGGGGGGGGGTCCATACGAATGTGCTTACTCCAGCTGGTGGTACAATATCCGGAGGCGGTATCGCCTTTCTGATCCTCTAGTTTGACTACAAACCTGGTAGGTAATATTAATGTGTTATCCGAACTAAAAGTTTTCAATGGTGTCTGTCTTTTGAGCCCATTTCTAAATTACATATATATCTAAATTTTGCGCAGTTCCGGACAACATGTATATTCAGGCTCTGTATGTGTCTGTATATAGTTTGATCACTGTGTCTGTCTTTGCCATCAGCTGTGCCATCACCAGCCAAAACATTTGTTAGCCCTGTAACTGCCAAACTGTAGTTTGTATTTTTGGTTTTTGTTAAATTTACTGAGTGGATTTGGATTTTGTAAAAGCATGTGTATTCATCAGTAAAGCAAATTCCTTTTTGAAATCAGCATGATTGCATCATTTTTTCAATGCTTATTGAATTATGTTTTGCATGCTTTAGCAATGAAAATATGCCAGATCATCTTTTTCTTTTGGTTCTAGTTGCTGTGGAGATTTGCTTGCTTATAAGGCAGGTTCCTTTAGAAAAATTGATAATCATACTTTTATGAAACATTGGATTTATTTGTAAATATTTTGACAGAGTTCTTCCTATAATTAAGTGCAAAAATGATTTTTTGTTTTACTTCATATTTATATTTTATACTTCATTATTTTAGTATAAATAAAGGTTCCTTTCAAAAATCTGCATGATTGGTTTATCTTACAAAAGTAATTAATTTTCTTTCAAGGTAAAAGAGTTGTTTTTTATTTGCATTTTGGCAAAGTTCCCCAAAAATTTTCCAATTGTATTTTTGCTTTACTGCAAATTTTCTGAGTGTTTGAGTTATTTGTGCTAAGAAAATGCAAGTTCTTTTTCAGCCTTTGGAAGGTCAGCATGATCAAATTATTTTCCCTTTTTTCTTTTTTGTAAAAATTGTTGAATTTTGTTTTTGTTGTTTGGTGTCAGTTTATCTGTCAGCTTGGTTGTCTATTTAAGTCTCTTTTCCTTCAATCACCTATGTATCATATACAGAGGATACTTTCCAGTGGAATTATTTTGGGTGCAGGTTGATACTTAAACTGAAATAAATAGCTCATTCCTTTGTTCACCTTTAGCTGGCCTATTAGATTTTTGTATCTTTTACCTTTATGTGGATGCATTGAATCGATTGTATTGATAAACAAGAACAAATTAAGACTGTTCCTTCTGATAGATTCTTTCTGTTTATTTTAGAGCTGTATAATCCTATACTCACTGGCGGATTCAAAGATGAAACACACGACTATGAGTTCACCTTATTAATGGATGGCAATGGGACTTTTAATCTAACAGAAAACCGGGCCATTACATTAATCAGGCCTCTTGATTATGAAGTCCAGAGAACACGCTTGATATTGATTCAAGCTCATATGATCAACAGCAGTGTAAATGACAGCTTTAATAACATTTATTATTATGATTGTTCCTCTTTTTATGCAACAATGGAGATAACAGTGATTGTAGAAGATGTTGATGAGTACCCCATGATGTTTCGGTATTACAGCAAATCTACAACCTTTGGTGAAAACCTTACCACGGGGTTGTCTGATGTGAACATTCCAATACACTGGGTTGTAGTATCCTCTGATACAGAGGTTGGAACTTCCATATTTAGATTCACTGTAATGGATCCAGATGGTAGCCCCCCTGCTGTGACAGGATTTCATATAACTGGAAACAACTCTGCACAGGATTTCCTAGGTGTGACATCAGAGGGGGAAATGTACACAACTGATACTATTCCTGCTAGTACTTCTGTCTGTCCCTTTGGATGCGCCGTGCAGGTATATGAGCTCTTAGTGACAGCCTCGCAAGGCTCCAAGGAATTTGAATGCAAGGTTTTGCTGGCTGTTAGGAATACAAGAATAAGAATTGAGGTTCAGGAAGATACCAGTTTTGTTGGATTTCAAATCATTGATTTTGTGGCCGCAGAAGGTTCCTCTATAACTGATGGTTCACTTTCTGCATATGTCAATGTCAGTTTTCCAATACATGTCATTGGATATGACCTTTTCTTGCAGTCATTCAATTATGAGGCAGAGCAAGAGTATCACCTTCTGTTTAATTGCACATATGAAAATACCTCTTTCATAACAGTCCCTATTGTGATACAGGTGGTTGATGTTAATGATCATAGCCCTGTGTTTGATCAGGACATGTATATTGGAGCGGTTAGGAACACAACTCCAGCAAATACTACTATTACTATGGTAAGTGCATCTGACAGGGATTTAGGTGACAATGCCAATCTTGTTTATACCATCACAGAAGGAGACCAGTATTTCTGGGTGACCGACTGTGGACAACTCCAGACAAAAACTGAGATGAATTTTATGCAACATTCACTCCAAGTTATCGAAGGCAAAGTGAATGTTTCTGATGGTCTCCATTCCAATGAAACCATGGTCCATGTCCTTGTGTATGCTTTGGATCTAGAATACTACATACCAGAGAACCAAACAGTGGAGTACCTGGTACCAGAGAACCAAACAGTGGGCAATATTGTGGTTCCTTACTTGTGTGGAAATATGTCAGCTTATGGTTATGCCAGTTGCAGTGTCCTTGACCCAACAGGGACATTTACAATGAGTAGTGATCACCTTCAACTTGTTTCACATTTGGATTATGAATTTAACACCACTTTCACATTATTACTGAACGTTGTCTTTGATACCATTGAAATGAACATAACTGTCACCGTCCATGTACTTGATGTGAATGACAATTGGCCATTTTTCATACAACAAGAGATTTACACAGCAGTGCAAAATTTCACTCAGGAAAATACAACAGTTGCTATGGTGATGGCTCATGATAATGACAGCAATGCTAATCTTGTTTATACCATCACAGAAGGAGACCATTATTTCTGGGTGACCGACTGTGGACAACTTCAGACAAGAATGGATATGAGTTTAATGCCAAATCCACTTCAGGTTATTGAAGGCAAGGTGAGAGTTTCTGATGGTGTCCATTCCAATGAAACCATGGTCCATGTCCTTGTGTATGCATTGGATCTAGAGTACTACATACCAGAGAACCAATCAGTGGGCAATATTGTGGTTCCTTACTTGTGTGGAAATATGTCAGCTTATGTATATGCCAACTGCAGTGTCATTGACCCAACAGGGACATTTGCAGTGCATGGAGATGACCTTATACTTGATTCAAGTTTGGATTATGAATTTAACACCACTTTCACATTATTACTGAACGTTGTCTTTGATACCATTGAAATGAACATAACTGTCACCGTCCATGTACTTGATGTGAATGACAATTGGCCATTTTTCATACAACAAGAGATTTACACAGCAGTGCAAAATTTCACTCAGGAAAATACAACAGTTGCTATGGTGATGGCTCATGATAATGACAGCAATGCTAATCTTGTTTATACCATCACAGAAGGAGACCATTATTTCTGGGTGACCGACTGTGGACAACTTCAGACAAGAATGGATATGAGTTTAATGCCAAATCCACTTCAGGTTATTGAAGGCAAGGTGAGAGTTTCTGATGGTGTCCATTCCAATGAAACCATGGTCCATGTCCTTGTGTATGCATTGGATCTAGAGTACTACATACCAGAGAACCAATCAGTGGGCAATATTGTGGTTCCTTACTTGTGTGGAAATATGTCAGCTTATGTATATGCCAACTGCAGTGTCATTGACCCAACAGGGACATTTGCAGTGCATGGAGATGACCTTATACTTGATTCAAGTTTGGATTATGAATTTAACACCACTTTCACATTATTACTGAACGTTGTCTTTGATACCATTGAAATGAACATAACTGTCACCGTCCATGTACTTGATGTGAATGACAATTGGCCATTTTTCATACAACAAGAGATTTACACAGCAGTGCAAAATTTCACTCAGGAAAATACAACAGTTGCTATGGTGATGGCTCATGATAATGACAGCAATGCTAATCTTGTTTATACCATCACAGAAGGAGACCATTATTTCTGGGTGACCGACTGTGGACAACTTCAGACAAGAATGGATATGAGTTTAATGCCAAATCCACTTCAGGTTATTGAAGGCAAGGTGAGAGTTTCTGATGGTGTCCATTCCAATGAAACCATGGTCCATGTCCTTGTGTATGCATTGGATCTAGAGTACTACATACCAGAGAACCAATCAGTGGGCAATATTGTGGTTCCTTACTTGTGTGGAAATATGTCAGCTTATGTATATGCCAACTGCAGTGTCATTGACCCAACAGGGACATTTGCAGTGCATGGAGATGACCTTATACTTGATTCACGTTTGGATTATGAATTTAACACCACTTTCACATTATTACTGAACGTTGTCTTTGATACCATTGAAATGAACATAACTGTCACCGTCCATGTACTTGATGTGAATGACAATTGGCCATTTTTCATACAACAAGAGATTTACACAGCAGTGCAAAATTTCACTCAGGAAAATACAACAGTTGCTATGGTGATGGCTCATGATAATGACAGCAATGCTAATCTTGTTTATACCATCACAGAAGGAGACCATTATTTCTGGGTGACCGACTGTGGACAACTTCAGACAAGAATGGATATGAGTTTAATGCCAAATCCACTTCAGGTTATTGAAGGCAAGGTGAGAGTTTCTGATGGTGTCCATTCCAATGAAACCATGGTCCATGTCCTTGTGTATGCATTGGATCTAGAGTACTACATACCAGAGAACCAATCAGTGGGCAATATTGTGGTTCCTTACTTGTGTGGAAATATGTCAGCTTATGTATATGCCAACTGCAGTGTCATTGACCCAACAGGGACATTTGCAGTGCATGGAGATGACCTTATACTTGATTCACGTTTGGATTATGAATTTAACACCACTTTCACATTATTACTGATTGTTTCTTTTGATACCATTGAAATGAACATCACTGTCACAGTCCATGTACTTGATGTCAATGATAACCGACCAGTTTTTCTTCAGCAGCAGTACAGTGTTACTGTTATGAGGGAGATAAACCCACATACACTTCTAACCACCATCACAGCAGAGGATCCAGACCAGAATCAGAATATCACATACAAATTGCTTGGCAGTGACAATGAGAACTTCCTGATAAATAACTATGGTCAAGTGTTTAGTTTGTCATCTCTGAACTTCTCAGATAGTGTTGTTCACACAGTCAATTTAACAGTCCGGGTAACAGATGGGATATGGACATCCCATGCATCACTTAAACTCCACATTGTTGCAAACGAATTGAAAATCGAAGTTTCTGAAAGTACTCCAAATGAAAGTATTGTGCATTCCAATTTATGCAGCCAGGAATTCTTACTTAATGGAACATGCAGCATTGCTGGAATGGACTCTACTTTTGGACTGGATGTTGATAAGAATTTGGTGTTGCAAAAACTATTAGACTTTGAATCAAAGGAAGACTATGACCTAATGTTAACTGCAGTGACAGGGGACACAACCTGGACATTACCAATACGTGTTCATGTGTCAGACACCAATGATGAAATCCCTCTGTTTCAGAATGAGGCCCATTTCTTTGGAATTGTCAGCAATTCATCACTTCCAAATATGACGATTTTCAATATCAATGCCAGTGACCCAGACAATGTTGGTTCGACACTGGAGTTCAGCCTTGATGAGGTTGGTGCAGAGTATTTCCAAATCTCTCACTGTGGACAATTGCAGACCATGAGCTCTTTTCCACTGCAGCTTCAAGTTCCATTTCATTTTGTCAACTTCTCCATATCCGTCACAGATGGGATCCATGTCACCACAACTAGGGCTAGGGTCCTCATTGCCACTGATTCATGGCAGGTGGCAGTTGCTGAAAATGACACAGAAAATAATTGGGAACTGCAAAACTTATGTGGAAACCTGAACACATATGGCGGATCTTGCACTGTGACCTCAGATCCAGAAATACCAGGATTGTTGTACAATGCCTCTGAAAACAGCTTGCATCTCAACACAAGATTGGATGCCAGGATTCAAGATGTCTATGAGATAAAGGTCCAGGCCTCTTTGGTACCATTTGAAACCATCACAGTCTCAATATCAATCAACGTAATTGATGTAAATGACCATGTACCCCAGTTCACCGAGGACTCTTATTCTGCTGTCCTTCATAATGGTGCTTATGAAAACACTGTCATTTTAACTTTAGAAGTTGAAGATGGTGATCTTGGGAATAACTCAAATATAGAGTACACAATTACTTCGAACCCCTTTACAATCTTTGGCATTAATAGTGCTGGGTGGCTTTACACCAATAGAAGGCTTGATATAGCAAGTATCCTGCCTGATTTGAATGATCTCATAGCATACACAGCACAGGTAACAGTGGAAGCTAGAGACTTGGGAATACCCCCCAAACATAATAGCACTTCAGTGGATGTCCTATTTCTTGATGATGAATTTGTGATCAACATAATGGAAAATGAGTATGATATACCATTTGGGAATATTAGTGTTCCTGCATTGAGAAATATAGGACTTGTTAGGGCACCTGCTGGTATTAGTGCAAATTTGACACACCTTTGGCTGGCAGAAGGGTTGGATTATGAGCAGAGCTCAAGCCTTCACTTCAGCCTCAATCTGTCACTGGATCACAGCCACTACATTGTACCTGTTACAGTGCATGTCATTAATGTGAACGATGAACCTCCGGAGTTTGGTGAAAGCATATACAACTTTACTGTTCCAGATGGCGCCAGGTACTATACATTGATAAATATGACCACAGCCACTGACAGGGATACTACAGACATAACATATTCCCTAAGAGATGTTGAGGATGAGGTATCTGGTGGGATGTCAGTTAGTGGACTGTTTTTGGTTAATGAAAAAAACGGAGCACTATACACGAATGGTCAAATAAGCTACGAAAAACTTCTTAAAGAGAAGCGTTTTAAGTCCGAAAATGATTCCTACCTTGAGTTTATGATTGAAGCTACAGATGGGGTATTCACAGCAAATGCCACAATAAGAGTGATTGTTTTGCAATATGATCTTAGGGTAGTTAACCAGTATGACAATACCACAGCTTTCTTACCAGAAGGAAATTACAGCAGCACTTTATTCTTAGTCACCGATGAGGCAGCTCGAGCAAATTATTCTGACTTCAAGTTTCAAGTGACTCCAAAGCAAGATGAGCTGATGTTCTTTATTAATGAGACAACAGTAAGTATTTCATTTTATTTTCTTCCATCTTCATACATGTAGGAACACTTAAACTATTTTGCATTTTGATATTTTAAAACTGCAAAACTGTTATTAGCAAAATTTTATTTCTTCTTAGTATGCATGTGATGTTTAATATTATTTTCAAAATCCAAAAAAAAATTTTTCAAAATAGCTATACTTATCAAAATATCAGAATGTTAAGAATCTAGGTTAAATCATAGTAAATTTTTGCTGTAACAAAACTTAATTTGACTAAATTTTTGTTCACAAATTTAACACCGATTTCTTTTAAATAAAAAAAAGAATAAGAATTTTTTTCATAAGTTTTAATGTAAATGAATGTATACAGGTTCAATAAATTCTGTGATGCACTTTATGGGGTTAACAATTATTTATCTTGACTTGATGATATTTTCAGCCTGTAGATAAGATATAATTATCTTTTTTAACAAAAAAAATTAACCCACTTCTTTTTCAGGGTTTCATTTATACAAATCAAACATTTGACCGGGAACAAGATGACAACTACATAGTCTTTGTAATTGCTTTAGAACAAGGTCTAGACAGTTGCCAAGCAGGGGTGAGTGTACACGGGGAGTAAATTTTTTATCACTGGGAGATCACAGTGCCCTCTTACAGTTTTATATGCACCTCCCTTTATGTTGATATGAGGCCAGAGGAGCTTTAATTTTATAAAGTGCTGTAGGTTTCAGAATAAGAAGTGTAACCGGTATAAAATGCAAGAAAAAGATTGATGTAAGAAATCATGTACATGAAGTATCCATGCACCCATATGCAAAGAGCATATTCTGCACTGAAGGGTTGACCATTCTTTTTGTTTACTGTAAGTGTTGGCTTTGTTTTATGAGTGCATAGTGTACATTTTTCATTTTTTAAAATAATTTTTACCTTTGGCATAGCCAAACAGGTCTGCATGCATATATAGATTCAATCCTCTACTTTTCAATTTTCTTACATTCTATAAATACAGGTACTATTAGTTTAATTTAGCTTTTTCAATTTAAAATGTATATCTTTACAATTTTTTTTTCAATTCTTGTTTGAATGATATATATTTTATTGGACATGCATGTTCCTATGTCAAACATTTTAATTTAGGTTAAATGACCAGATAAGATCTGCAATTTACTGCTATCCACAAATTTTGAAGGTGAAAGAACTTTTGGTCTACTGTTTTGCAGTAGACGCTTACGTTAATACCCAGTACTTGGGGATGCACCCATGTCCATTTGTGATTGTATTTTCTGTAATGTGTATTAAGCTTGGTGGAGAACACAATGTACAACAACCACCATTTGCAATGACATGTGTTTGAAATTTTTAAAATCTCCATTTCCAGGTTATAGCCATTGTAAACACCACTATCACTGATATTAATGACAACCCACCTGTTTTCACATCTCAAACTTATGAAGGTCATGTGGATGAAAATAGGACTAGTGCTGAAGTGCAGTTTCAGGTAGAAATATTTCGTATACACTTGTTTACAATAAGACTGATGTTTAAGAATGCAAATTATATTCTAATTCGCTTATGCTTAAACGTATATAAATACATTAACTGAGTGAAGTTAATTTTAAAAAAAAGGGCTAACCTTTTGCATTATGGACTTTTTAAATAATATTTTGAAAATTTTTGTCTTTAATGTGATCAATTATACAAATAATTTGCTTGTATAGAATATGCATATTGTTTTTTCTTTATAAAATAATATTTTTTATGTGTTTGGTTTCTTCTTGTATTTATAGGCACAAGATTTTGAGAAAAGAAAATCATTTGATTATTTAATTACACACACACACACACACACACACACACACACACATACACACACACATATGTCCATCTATTACCTGTATATGTTTCTGTGTTATCTACGTAAATGTATTACTTTTGCAGATGCCCATTAATGCACCAGACAAGGATATAGGATCAAATGCTTTGATATACTACAAGCTACTAAATGGAACAGATGTCTTTCAAATTGACAACACTACAGGGAAATTGTACACAAGTGGGAAATTGGACAGAGAAGAGACTGGTTTTTACATAGTCATGATTTCTGCATCAGATGGGACATACAATGACACAGCAACAGTTAACATAACATTGGATGATGTAAATGACAATGCCCCTGAATTCAGCGAGACAAACTATACATTTAATGTATCAGAAGACCATTCTTCGGACAAATCCATCGGTCAAGTTTTAGCTACAGACAGGGACATTAATATTTTACCACTAACCTACCATATTGAAAATGACAGCAATGAAAAGTTTACCATGAAAAACCCATTCACTGGTGAAATTTGGATTTCCGGGACTCTAGATCGAGAGAGTCTTCAGAATGACAGAATTGAGTTTCTAGTTATTGCGAAAGATTCAAGTTCAGGCTCTACTACCGATACATCACATTCAACCACTGCCACAGTCACAGTCATTGTCAGTGATGTCAATGATAATTCTCCGGAATTTGGCAAGAACATAGATGTGGATGTGTTGGAGAACTATACAGGCCCACTCACTCAAGTACATGCAACAGATCCTGATGCAGGAGAAAATGGCACTGTTACATACTGGCTAGGTGACCATGACAATTCTAGATTTTCTATCGATAATACTACAGGGAATATTACATTGGAGCAATCATTTGACTTTGAAGATGAGAACCCTAATTTTATTCGACTCACTGTGTATGCCAGGGACAATGGCAAATCCTGTCAGAGCAGTGGTAGTTGCAATGACACAATGGAGGTGATGATCACCATCAAGGATATTAATGACAATCCACCTGTGTTTTTGATTCAAAACATAATTCTGTCATCACCAGATAAAATTGGAATAGTAATACCCATGATAGCTTTTGATAGAGACTCAAAAGAAAATGGTGATGTTACATACTCTTTTCCTGATTACCCAAATAATACCTTGAAGCGATTCTTTAATGTTTCAAACTCGGGAATAATTTCAGCTATTAAGATTATTAATATACAATTAGACACAAACAATCGTGTGCTCACAGTGATGGCAAAAGATAATGGCTCCAAACCTCTCTCAGGATTTGCAACAATAACATTTTTTGGTCAAAATGAAGAGACACCTTGTAAACTAAACAACAAAATTTATGTCAGCAACATAACAGAGGAACAGCATTATCCATGGCCAGTGATAAGTTTAACTTACAACAAGTCTAGTGAGGAAGACAAGTGCATTTTTACTCTCTCTTGTCCCCAAGACTTCTTGGTGATAAATTCAACAACAGGAGAAATTGGTTTGAGGAATGGGTCACTGGATAGAGAAGAACTGGATAACTTTTTCAAAAGCACTTGGGATGGCAAGACTTTGTCATGCGTTGTATCTTTCTATGTTCCTGATAAACCAATTAGTGCAGCAGAGGCAAGTGCAGTATATTATGAAATAAATTGTTCTATTCATTATGATTTTATAACTTTTTCTCATTTTAAAGTAAACTGTTTTATTTTTCATTACTTTGGATACTTTCAATTATATTAACTTATATATCATTTTATGAAAATTTTGCTGTTGAATTTTGGTATTTTATTATTACTCTCCAAATCATATTTCTGGTTTGACTGAGGGTGCATTCCCAGAGATTTAGATTGATCCAGAGATTTAGATTTAGATCGACCTAACTCCCTGGGGGTTCATGCTAAATTGCAGTCAGCCGAGCACGCACCATAGTTAATTACCCCCTTATAGCTTTTAGTAGGAGGTACAGACGCTTAAGCCAGCTAAGCTGACAGTAATCTAGTGAGACTCCCCACAGGGATAGATCGATCTAAAATCTATGGGAATGTGGTCTAAGACTTGCTCATTCAAAATGAAAGCAAATTTTCATTAGAAAAATATCAGCAATCATGTTTTAAGTCAAACTTACGTAGTTTTTCATCGATCTTCATTTAATGAAATAGTTTAACTGAACACTGCTGAAATTTTAAAGATCTTATTTTCGGTCTTTGAGTTATACAAAAACATTTTTTAATCTACACTCTTTCTTCATTCTTTCCTTTTTNACTTTTTGTGAAGTGGGAATAGTATTTTTGCATTGTTATTTATTTATTTATTTATTTGTAATTTTGAACTGAATATTTTTGAAATTTTGAAAGTTCCAGAGAGCAAGTGGTAAAAATACTGGAGTTGAAAGTCCAAGCTTACAAAGAAGTGGTTCAGCTAGCAGTGTTTCAACCATAGGAGAAGGTATATTCAGAATATTATCAAGATAATCATGCTATTCTGGTGACAACACCATATAAAGATGATGCTTTAAATTTTTTTAAGGAATTGCTGCTTCACTGCTGGTGATTTTTCAAAACCTTTTTTAAAATAAGTAGAAATTTTAGGTAAAAAGTTATTATGTGATTTTATTTTAAGGGATTTATGTTCAAGATTTGCATTAAAATTGTTTGCAATTAATAATGTATGTGTGTTTTAATAGGTCCAGCATTCAATTTGGTTACCCTAGATGACATTGTAGGAGATATGGAAGCAACACCAACGGCTCCTTTAACCAAGTCAAAGAAGAATGAAGAGAAAGATATTCAAACCAAAAGTAATGATCAAGCTAAAGACAAAAGACCTGTGCCAAAACCCAGAAAATCAAAACAGGACTCTGTTAGTGTTGAATCTCCAGAGCCTGACCCATTAAGCAGGATGGGACTGCAGACTTTAGACGACGTACTTGATATTGACAATGATCCATCGGTTCCTGTTATCCAGAGTTATCTGACAAAAGAGACAAAAGATGAGAGCTCATCAAGCAGCTCTGAAGAAATCATACTCGATATGTCCCAACAAAGTGATATTGTTTATGAAAATGACTTTAATAAGGATAGGAAATCTAGACCAATAACTCCTAGATCTGAGGCAGTTACCCCTAAATCAGAAATTGTTAGTGAAATAAAGTCAGAAATTCAATACCAGAGTGACTTTGAAAGATCTCAGTCCAGAATTAGCCCAACACCAACTCCAAGATCACAAAGCAATAGATATTCAGATGATTTTGAACACAGTTATCAGGATAAGTCAGATATAGGTAGGTCTAGGTCAGCTAGTCCTAAGAGGTCAAGGTCAAACTCTCGATCAAGTGAGCAGAGGTCAAGATCAAGATCAAGAACTGACAGAAGCAGTAGTGGAACCACATCTCTGAGGTCTAGCTTTTCACAGTCTGTGTCAAGTTCATCAAAAACTGAAACCTCGTCCAGATCACGAAAAAAACACAAAGGTTCATCTCGGTCACCTACAAGCAGGAAAGCATCCTATTCACCTAGAGGAAAACATGATAGATCGAAGCATAAAGATTCATACTCTAGTAGCAGATCTGGAACTAGTAAGGATGATGATTATTCCAGAGATAGCAACACTGAGAGTTACAGGTAAAGACAGCCATCCAGGGTTTTAAACTTATTTTAGTGATGATAATCTTCTTAAGATATGGATTCTGCTTTGTTGACGTTTTTATGAGAAATACACATCTTCTCAGATTTGAACAGACCACACAGGACAGATGAAGTTGAATTTAAGTTTGAGAACAATTTGTTACTGTATTCAATAAAATAAGACAATTGTTTTATCTATGCTGATGATGACGCATATCTTTGGTCAGTTTCAACAGAGTTTGCTCTATTCAGGTTCTACTTTCATTTTAAAAATGCAAAACGAAACGAAAATTGAAAAAGAAACTTACACATACTCCAATTTAATGATCATTTTTATGTTTTACTAATTTAACACACAAAACAGTCAGAACAATACCCTACATACATTACAGGTCCAGTAGATCTCGGAGAGGTCACAGAAAAAGCCGCACGAAGACAGTTAGAGTCCAGACTGACCACGACACCTCTGCGCTGCAGTACCAATGGAACCCCTACACAGTGGGGACAGCCGTGGAGGGTGCTGCCCTTGGGATGCAAGTTGTGGACCCCACTCCTGTTGCCACCCATGCTGTTAGTGCAGAGGCACTGGAAGGTCAGTCTTCATTAGCAGGGAATGGTTTTCAAACAAGAATGCAAGAAAGGAGCATGGTTTTAACTTTAAGAGGAAACATTTTGTTGCATGATTCAGTAGCAGTCTACTTAAATTACGTAAAAATTCTTCATTTAATCTTTTTTTATATAACAGGTACTATGTTCCATTTACTTCGACTACAATTGATTTATCTGGGGTCCAGGTAGATTAAAATGTTGGTCTTAAAGTTTAAATCAACTTTACCTAAGGTCTGAAATGTATTTTATGAAACAAGGGCTAACTGAAATAAATAGAGAGATAAAAAAGTCAGCTAGTTCAGATTCTGTTTATTTTGACAGTTTTCTTCAAAGCACTGAACACCAAAGATGCAAAATTTTCCCATAAAATTATTAAAATTTGATGTATGCTGTTTTGTTTTAATGGTATATGATTTAAAGTTATCATTAATGACATCACTAATTAATTATCATTAATGTCAGTACTCAGAAAAAACTACTATATTCTAAATAGTCTTATGATAACACGAATGACTGCAGTGTATTACTAATGAAGATAGTACAATAATGACTCAAATTTACCATATGTTTTAGTTCTTTAAAAATTATTTTGTTTATTTTATTATATTTATTTTCATTGCAGCAATGACGGGCTATAGCCCTAGTGTCCTTGTGCTCAATGATATGTTAAGACAGCAGTTACAGCTGACTAAGTCCTTCCTAGGGGTCCAACAGAGAATATATCATTCACTTATGGGAACAATTAATAATCAGTACCAATACACAACATTGGAAGATACCAAAAAGGTATGTATTTTGATATGTTCTCCTTGTGTCAATGCAATTAGAAGAATTGAAATATGGCAAACATTTTAGTGTTGTGTCATCGCTATTGCATTTTTGTTTAGAATTGATATGGTATCTCTAGCTTTGAGCTGTTGGAAAATAAAAAAAAGTTACTGCTATTTTCCATCATAGAGATGTGCAACATGGAATGAAATAAGTGAAATAGAATTGTTTGTGTAATTAAAGCATCTGTTATGATATTTTCAGTATATTCGAAAACATCGGAAACCAAAGTTAACTTTTGATCAAGCATTGAAACTAGTGAGAGCAGAAATGGGGGAAGATGTCAGGTAGAGTTGGATTGCATGGGAAGACTTTCATGGATTATTTAAGAACGAAGACATTTTACATTGAAGAATTGGTAGATTTTGCCAGAAGAAAATAAAGCCAAAGTGATAGTCCATCAGGTCTGGCTGAAATTACATCTAAAATGAACATGCTAGTCCATTTTTGCCAGTGTAAAATTGTGAGTGTTATGAACTCCAGATGCCACAAACAATTACTTTTGGGTCTGTTAACTCCACATTCCTCGCCATTATCCCTTGATTTCAAGAATTTAAACTGGAACTTTTTTATCTGTCAGTGTGGTGAGTTGGTCAGCCAATGACAGCTGTCAAATTGAGGCCTACTCTCTTGTGACCTTGACTGTTACTATCATAGGAAAGCTGGGAGAGCATGAGTACAACTCAAAAATTAAGCCGGACCCATCGAAAACCCCAAGGTCAAATAAGCCTTATTACTGACAATATAGGCCTTCCTATTGGTTAGAAGGTGTAAATTGTTCCGAAAAGACAAGTAGTTTTCCTATTTATTGATGACTGACAATAATTTGGCACATTTAGTGTTGTAATCAACCTTTAATATGTCTTAATTTATCATTATCAAAATCTATAAACAGAAATTACACTCGAAAAATGGAAATGGTTTGAAATTATATTTAGGGGTACCTTATAGGTCCTTATAGACTATGATGCCTGCAAGAAAATATTGAATGAATATTTAAATATTATGATAAAATATTTTAAAGGCTTATTGGTGCTTACGAAATGTGATATTAATGATATTTTCAATGGAAATTGTAAGGTTAAACAAAAATTTACATATTATTTATGTTGTCTGAAAAATAATCAGCAAGTAAGAATTGTGCTAGAAAAGTGAACTTTCACGATCAAATGGTTTCATCCTTTAAAATCAAATTTGCTGCTTTATTATTAATAAGAAATTACCTCAAGACCTTAACTTTGAGTGATTTTTTGCTTTAGTTAAATTTATTTTCACATTATCATTTCCTTCATGATCTATACTTTTGAAACTCTGATGCTACTTTCAGTACTTTGTGTCAAACAATTATAAGAAAGGCTTGACCTGAACAATACCATACAAACTATTTGTTATGCTGTTATTGTTTGCATACCAACTGCTTATCTTTTACAGAAGTTTATTTATATCCTTTTATTTTGTGCAAATTAATAGTCTAATAATACATTTACTAAGGAAATGTTTAGTTTCTTTTTCAGAACAGATTAATGTATTTCTGAGTTAAATTATTTGAATTAATGTTATTTCCTTCTATAAATTCATTTGTCTTATTGTGTAAGCTATTCTGTAAAGTTTGAATTGTGTATATTTTAATTTGTTGGCTTTAAACAAAATTACCCAAAGACCACATTCACAACGAGTTGAGCCATGGCTCTACAAAGTCATGAACTAAATATGGCGGACATACATGAAAGGAAAACCGTCTAATCTTTTAATAGTCTCTCCGCCTCTCACCCGCCTCCCCATGTGTCGTCCCAATGGAGCCAAGATTTAATGACTGTTTAATGATTTGATGACGCATGGGGAGGCGTGTGAGAGGCAGAGAGACTATTAAAAGATTAGGCGGTTTTCCTTTCATGTATGTCCGCCATATTTAGTTCGTGACTTTGTAGAGCCATGGCTCAACTCGTTGTGAATGTGGTCTTTGGGTAATTTTGTTTAAAGCCAACAAATTAAAATATACACAATTCAAACTTTACAGAATAGCTTACACAATAAGACAAATGAATTTATAGAAGGAAATAACATTAATTCAAATAATTTAACTCAGAAATACATTAATCTGTTCTGAAAAAGAAACTAAACATTTCCTTAGTAAATGTATTATTAGACTATTAATTTGCACAAAATAAAAGGATATAAATAAACTTCTGTAAAAGATAAGCAGTTGGTATGCAAACAATAACAGCATAACAAATAGTTTGTATGGTATTGTTCAGGTCAAGCCTTTCTTATAATTGTTTGACACAAAGTACTGAAAGTAGCATCAGAGTTTCAAAAGTATAGATCATGAAGGAAATGATAATGTGAAAATAAATTTAACTAAAGCAAAAAATCACTCAAAGTTAAGGTCTTGAGGTAATTTCTTATTAATAATAAAGCAGCAAATTTGATTTTAAAGGATGAAACCATTTGATCGTGAAAGTTCACTTTTCTAGCACAATTCTTACTTGCTGATTATTTTTCAGACAACATAAATAATATGTAAATTTTTGTTTAACCTTACAATTTCCATTGAAAATATCATTAATATCACATTTCGTAAGCACCAATAAGCCTTTAAAATATTTTATCATAATATTTAAATATTCATTCAATATTTTCTTGCAGGCATCATAGTCTATAAGGACCTATAAGGTACCCCTAAATATAATTTCAAACCATTTCCATTTTTCGAGTGTAATTTCTGTTTATAGATTTTGATAATGATAAATTAAGACATATTAAAGGTTGATTACAACACTAAATGTGCCAAATTATTGTCAGTCATCAATAAATAGGAAAACTACTTGTCTTTTCGGAACAATTTACACCTTCTAACCAATAGGAAGGCCTATATTGTCAGTAATAAGGCTTATTTGACCTTGGGGTTTTCGATGGGTCCGGCTTAATTTTTGAGTTGTACTCATGCTCTCCCAGCTTTCCTATGATAGTAACAGTCAAGGTCACAAGAGAGTAGGCCTCAATTTGACAGCTGTCATTGGCTGACCAACTCACCACACTGACAGATAAAAAAGTTCCAGTTTAAATTCTTGAAATCAAGGGATAATGGCGAGGAATGTGGAGTTAACAGACCCAAAAGTAATTGTTTGTGGCATCTGGAGTTCATAACACTCACAATTTTACACTGGCAAAAATGGACTAGCATGTTCATTTTAGATGTAATTTCAGCCAGACCTGATGGACTATCACTTTGGCTTTATTTTCTTCTGGCAAAATCTACCAATTCTTCAATGTAAAATGTCTTCGTTCTTAAATAATCCATGAAAGTCTTCCCATGCAATCCAACTCTACCTGACATCTTCCCCCATTTCTGCTCTCACTAGTTTCAATGCTTGATCAAAAGTTAACTTTGGTTTCCGATGTTTTCGAATATACTGAAAATATCATAACAGATGCTTTAATTACACAAACAATTCTATTTCACTTATTTCATTCCATGTTGCACATCTCTATGATGGAAAATAGCAGTAACTTTTTTTTATTTTCCAACAGCTCAAAGCTAGAGATACCATATCAATTCTAAACAAAAATGCAATAGCGATGACACAACACTAAAATGTTTGCCATATTTCAATTCTTCTAATTGCATTGACACAAGGAGAACATATCAAAATACATACCTTTTTGGTATCTTCCAATGTTGTGTATTGGTACTGATTATTAATTGTTCCCATAAGTGAATGATATATTCTCTGTTGGACCCCTAGGAAGGACTTAGTCAGCTGTAACTGCTGTCTTAACATATCATTGAGCACAAGGACACTAGGGCTATAGCCCGTCATTGCTGCAATGAAAATAAATATAATAAAATAAACAAAATAATTTTTAAAGAACTAAAACATATGGTAAATTTGAGTCATTATTGTACTATCTTCATTAGTAATACACTGCAGTCATTCGTGTTATCATAAGACTATTTAGAATATAGTAGTTTTTTCTGAGTACTGACATTAATGATAATTAATTAGTGATGTCATTAATGATAACTTTAAATCATATACCATTAAAANATTATTAAAAATTGATGGTCATTATGCTGTTAAACATTATGTAATATTGCATCAAAATTTGAAGAAACCCCTATTTTGGGCACTGCTCCCATGATGACCATTTAAGAAAAACCATGTCACTTACTGTTTTCAAACTTACAGGAAAGAAACATGGGACTAAAATATAGCTACAGTAGGCAATGCAGTCTGTTTTGTAAATATTTCTGGCAATTAAAATAGTTTTTTGTGAAAATAAAATTTTTCACTTATTGACTTTGAAGTTCTAAGATCCTGAAGACCTTTGCTTGTCACGTTTTCTGAATGTCCATGTTACTAATAATCTATTATTAAAAATTGATGGTCATTATACTGTTAAGCATTATGTAATGTTGCATCAAAATAGAAGAAAACACAATTTTTGGTGCTGCTGCCATGATGACCATTATGGGAAAACCGTGTTATGACTGTCAAACCTTTTAAAAAAGAAACACAGGACTAAAATGCAGAATGAGTTGGAAAAGCAGTCTGAGTGAAATATTCATTATCTTTTTGGCATATTCATTGTGGGACTCGGAGCTCCCATGGACATGAAGCCGAATGGTGATCAAATTTTCTACATGTCCATGCTATTTATTGTCAATAATCAAAAATTGGTGGTAATTATTCTATAATTTATCATGTNTCAGGGTCCGCTCCTGTTATTGACCATGTTACCTGTTGTGCATGATTAAAATTCAGTGTTGACTGACAGTGCTATTTTAAGCATTATTTATTATTGCATCAAAATTGACAAAATGACCTTTTTTTATATCTTTATTTTCTGTTTTTTGTCTGTACATTTGACAGCTTTGCTGCCTTGTTTTCAATTTGAAAGTACAGACTTTTCAAATAGCACCTGCGTCTGTCATAGTCATTGCCATTGGCAAGCACTTTCAGAGACAACATGCTGTGTGGAAAACCTTATGTGTGGAAAACCTTACCTTATGTGTTCAAACTTACAGAACTGATGGATATTTATTAAATTCAGATTAAGTTTGAAAATCAGCTTGATAGGACCAATTTTACAAAAGTTATTGTTTTTTTCTTTGCTTTTACTAGCATGTATCCATACAGATAACTAATTAAATGAAAAATCGTCTTGTTTAAAACTTACAGGAGTGATCAATACAGGTCCAGTTTGAAAACCAACCTGATCAGATTACTTCTCTTGAAGTAATGCATTTTTTTTTGGGGGGGGGGGGGATGTTCATATTTCACAGATTGGCATTTTCAAGGTGTGACTTTTAGCTTCCATCTTGGACATAATTACGTAATTTTGTCCATGCTTCCATGGACATGAGGACCTTTGCTAGTCACTTTTTCTAAATATATATGTTAACTACTATGCATAATTAAAAATTGGTGGTGATTATGCTGTTAAGCATTATGTAATATTACATCAAAATTGACAAAAAAAAAATTTTGGGGCACTGCCACCATATTTACCATGTTGCTTATGATTCTCAGACTTACAAAAAAGATTCACAGGACTGAAAAAAGTATGTGTAATTCAAGGTCTATCATCAATATTACTTAATGTTTAATAACATTTTAATGAATTTTCATGAAAATAAATCTTGCAAACATGGACAATTTTTTCTTAAAAGGAACCAAGAAGCGTTCCACCAATGGAGGAGGCTGTCACACTCCAGAAGGTATGAATTAAAAACCTATATAAATGGGGATGATTGATATGTATAGAACATATCATATTTAAGACCATCTTATTAGAAAGCTAAAAGATGCAGAATAAAAGAGTAGAAAAATAAGATATTTTGCACTAGGCATGTTTTTTGGCAGTTAAATGAACGTAGTTGCAGTTTTGCCTTTCATATTATCCCACCAAATAAACTTAAATTTCTGTCTAACAAGAGGATTTGATCAGATTAGACCATTGATTTTTATATAGATGGTATTTTTCTTATTATTATTTTATATTATTTTAGTTGGTAACAGGAGTGGTTCCATGAGGGGATTTCAAGTTTTATCCCAAAATGGTAAGGCATGCTATAGAAATTAATAGAACATAAATAACTTTTCAGAAGTCAAGCAAAATAAACAACAATTTAACAAAATGTATATTTTTAATGCATGACTCTGAAATATTTAGTAAGTGAAGGCATCATTCATGTATCTTTTTTATATGGAGAATTTATTAATTATTATTATCGACCTGGCACCCCAAGAAGGGTTAGATAAACAGCATAATCAAATAGAAGTTCTTACTTATAATATTAGTCATATAGATAAATATGAGGAATAAAAATAATGTTTGAAGCATCTTACATACTGCAAATTTGCATATTTCTTCTTTCATAGCATACGCAGGATTCAAATATGATTTGTTCATCTGTTACACTGAAGAAGATGATGACATGGTAGACCATAAGCTGATAAGTTTCTTAGATCAGGAACGCTCTGGCGGTGGACAAAATACATGCACATATGAAAAGAAAAATTTCTTGCCAGGAAGACATAATGTTGAAAATGTGTGCCAAGCCATGAAAGAAAGCCGCAAGACATTACTGGTCCTGACCTCCAATTTTGTGAAGACAGAATGGTGTAAATATGTTGCAGGGTACAGGTTTGAAGAGGAATTCAAGAATCGTATACTCATTGTTCAGCTGGAGGAGTGTAATGTAAATATGAATATATAAAATTTGCTTGAATTTTTTTTTATATCTTACTTTTTGTCATATGGAATATTACTAGTCCTGAGTCTGTTTTACAAAACATTTAATATTAACCAACAAAATTTTGTTTCCTATTTTGATTGATAATCTCAGGTCAAATTAAGTGATGGATTGGCCTCCAAAAATAAACCATCTTATTAACCTTGAGACTTTCCAGAAACACAAATCAGAAGTAACATCAATGTTTCTCTACATTTTGTCAGACAAATTCATGTGGCCCATAAACCTTCATTGTGAGGCAATTTTGTTTGATATCAGGAATGCTTTATAATGTAGAAACATTGATTTCTGTGTGTATTTTTAGATTTCCAAAAGGCTTAGACAGTATATCCATGGGGTTGAGATCCTGAAATATGGTGAACCACCAGATGATTTTTATCGAACCCTTCAATTTTTTATTGACCATGATATTGATACAAGTACATCATCTTCATTTGGCAGACACCTACACATGGAAGGCAAGAAATATGACAGTATGTATTAAACATTGTAATATTTTTATTATTATAATTTCTCATATTGCTGTTTTTATTGCCTCCATCCTGCCCGTACTTAAAGCTATGAACAACATTTTTTATACCCCCCTTTGATCATATGGGGATCCAAGATATATTGCTTTGCAAATGTCGTTCGATCAATTCATCGGTCCCTCAGTCCAACCAACAAGGAAAGAATGATTATGTCTAAATTCCTCATATTTGGGAGGAAGGTTTGTCATCATGGGTAGATGACTTCTATTATTTTTGAGGTCAGTAAGCAAAATGTCAAGGTCACAATGATCTTAAGCACAAAAAAAACTTAACTGACCAATAAATTGATTGTAAGATTTTGCCTATATATGGTCCTTATATTGGGTAGGGAGGTTTGTCATCACATTTATATGAACACTATCAATTTGGAGGTTTGTAGTCAAAATTCAAGGTCACAGTCATGTTCAACACAAAAAATTTGTCTGACTAATAAATATAGAGAATAATGTGGCAAATTGGACTGCATCTGTGTTTGACTAACACCTTTTTTTCTAACCATGCATGTAAAATTCTGAATACATTATTAGTTATTTCTGCTATAAACCATTTTACAGCTGGAACTGAACCAAACAATGATTATTATGGTGAGCAGTTCAAAGCAGCTTTGTCAGATGCAAACTATTGCAGCCAAAATAATACAGGTACTTATACAGCTACTAGTATGATACAGTTTTGTAAACAGTACAGTTTTTAGGTGGTCATTTATAAATGGATATTATTTTGCTGCAAATACTAGTAAGTTGATGAGTGGTTTGCATTCCCCAAGCCTTCTCAAGTAAGTATCATTGAAGTAGGTCTTATTTTTTGTATAAGCATGTTGGAAATTTTGTGAAGCAAGTCTTCTTTCTGCCTCTGTTATGCATCTAGCTAGAAAAATTGCTCAAATACTGACTAACCATGCTGTTTTTCTTGCAGATTTGGTAGATAAAGCTGTTGCAGAAGGAAGTTTATGTAGCTTCAATAAAGATCCAGAGTCATACGTGGAAAGAATGAATAAGATGGTCGAAAACAGCCCAAACTATTTACTCCATAAAAAATCCTTAAGAAAAGCAATGCTTTCACAAAACTTAAACTGGGATATTCTGGCTGTTATTAGCTGTATTAAAGATGCAGATTTAAAGGAAATAGCTTTGAAAAAATTGGAAGGAGTTCTGCTGGAAAATGATCCTCTTTCTGATGAGCAGGCAAATGACAGGCTACTTGAGGCTGCTGTCAAAATTGAGCTTTCTTTGTTTTCTGAAACAAACAGTAACTTTCTGACAAAACGATTGTCAGTTTATGGATATCTATTGACATGCATTCTTTTGCATGTATGGGAGCAGCATATCTATCCACCTAGTCATTGGTTATCTAGGCTAGGTGAAAAAGTTCTGCCATTTTTAGAGGATGCCAAACGAAGTAAGAGTGCTAGGAACAAAAGACAAAAATACGCAATTGATTTTTGCCTATTCATCATACGCAGTTTGAGGTTTGACAGTGGGCCTGAAATGCAGAACCAGTGGAAAGTATTCCATAAATTTGTAATATCTGATGATATTTCCCACCATGCCATTAATTGGGAAGATGTTCTTGGGACACGTCTGATGAATAAAAACTCAGAGTGTTGGTTTTATTTCATTAAGGTGATTCTCCAGGCCTTCACAGGACTCCAGGTATATGTTATATTTTAATTCAGATGGGGGGATGGTGGATATCTGGATATACATATAGAAGTAATTGAGGATCACTAGTCTTAGAGTAAAAAGTTTGTTCAAAGTCTGTATTGGGTTGAATTTTCATGGCAATCAAGAAAGATGGATGCCCGACTGTCTGTCATCATAATTTTTAGACTAATGCACCATCAGACAACTGAAAATGTACACCAATAACCTCAAATAGTTCTTTTCTTCTTTTGCAAAAATTGCAGTCATGAACAGCATAGATTTGCATTCATTAGAGCATTTGCTAGCATAGTTTTAAATTTTTGTCATTCATGTTAATTTTGATGTTAATTTTAATTGGATTTTTTTATGCACATAGGCAAGAAAAAAAGTACAGGAGACGAGAAAAAGAAGCTTTGCATGCCTTCCCCTTCATGCAATGGCATACATGCTGAAAAAGTTCAAGCCCAACTGCTTGTACCATGAAGAAACTATTCTTCAGTGTGCTCATATTTTGAGTAGGATGGCATGCCAGCCAAAAAATGGTCAGTTTATCAATAAAAAGAGAAATTCTGTATTGCTTATATGAATTTTTATTACTTTCACATTAAAAAGAGAAATTCTGTATTGTTTATATGAATTTTTATTTTTATCAACAAATGATTAATAGTAGTACATAAAATTGGTTTGTGGAAAATATTATTGACATGCTTTATTCAATATAAATGCTTACATTTAGACTTTTTTCTATATTTTATATCAGTTGGTCATTCCTGGTTTTACTTTTCATTGGTTGGAAATTATAAAACAGTTGTGTTATTTTCTATTTTCTGAAAATGACTAATAATTACATTAATACTTTTAAAGGGGTTAAGTTTAGAGCTTTTGTTCTATTTATGAGTAGAAATAATTCAGATAATGCCAATTTCATCAATATGTTTTTTTATAATTTTGATATTTCAACTTTTTTCTTGGATAATTAATTTCAAAGGATATGTTTGAACATATCAATCTTGAATCAATTTCATATCAATGGGCAGTATTGATTTTTTCTATCTCCAGAAATGGCACAGTCTGTGGTGTTTGGCTGTACAGAAGCAGGTTCCCCAGATAATGGTCTTAGGCATCTGTTTGATACTGTCCAAGGGAATAAGTCCTTCAAAGAAGCTCTTTCAGAAGTCATTAGACCCATCTTATCTACATCAGAAGACCAAACAATCAAAACTGTACTGCTTGAAAAAATTTTACCAAGAGATTGCAGAACAGAAGAAAAGAGGAAAGATTTAGTGATGACCGCAATTGTCGAAAAATTAACTGAGCATTACACCCTTATGGGTCAGAGTTTGGCAATTGACTTGAAGCCACAGTTGAGTCAAGCACAAAATGATATATTTCGCCTTGATGGAAAATTAAATGGAAACCCAGTGACAGCTGTTATTTTGAATACATTTAAATGTGGTGATGTTTCTCAGATTAAAAAGGAGGAAAAGCTGATCAAGAAACTTACACACAAGAACATCCCTAAATTGGTGGAAAAGATGGAGGGAGATGGAATTCCATTCCATTTTATCACTGAGAGAGCCAAGGGAGAAAATCTCCAGACCTTTCTTTTGCAGAAACGCAAAGATCCAGATTCATTTCCCTTGCCTGATCGCATGAAACTGGCAACAGGACTCTGTGAAACACTTCACTATACCACACATTCAGAGTGTGTACTTAGAAACCTTTCTGCCCAGACCATCATGATAATGAAAGACGCCCGGAGGCAATATCAGCCTAAAATTGTAAACTTTCAGCAAGCTTTAACAGTGCAAGGAGGAAAGCTTGCACCAGGAACCATGAGAGACAAAATACCCGTGAGATGTTCTGCACCAGAAGCTTTCCTAAAAAATGAATTTTCAGAGAAAACAGAGGTGTACATGTTTGGATGTCTGTTGCTTGAGATTTTCACTTTGGGTAGCCCAGCCTTTCAGGAACTTGCTAAGCCAGAGGATGTTCAGATAATGGTTTGTATTATTTTTTATATTAAGTTCTGTAGAGAGTATTGGGGGGTGTCTGTTAATACCCCCTTATTGGCCCAGCTTGAGAAATGCCATAGTATCTATAGATGAAGTTTTGATTAAGATCGCACCTTTTCCAAACAAAAGGCCATCCTTGTTACCTCCCTTGAATTTATATTTGTTGTAAATGTGTAGAACATATGACAGAACTGTACTATCCCTGATGAGTTTAAACCTGTTAATCTTATGTTTATTTAAATGTGTTTCTGGCAGTGACTAGCACAATGTGATTATCTTGTACTATATGTATTTATATTTTTTATCCAATTTTATTTTATGTTTCATCTACATTTGCACAGGTTGGCTGCATTGATTACAAAGTAAAGAAACCCCAGTGTATTCCAAGTGATATTTTCAATGTAATTTTGGCATGTCTCTCAAGGGCACCTGATAAAAGGCCTTCTTTTGGGGCCATACGCAGTTCACTGCAGGATATACTAAACAAGGCAAAAGGTATATCAGCAAATACCATGTATGCCATCTGATATGATATAACTTTTTGTAAGGGGTAGCCATCCCAACTGTCAACAACCATATCTTTGCATGTTCATCCTTCAACAAATTAAAATACCTGCTTAATTATCAGAATTATCTCATTAGAACTGTGTGTAAAGGAAATATCTTATCAGTTTTGATATACCCTTTTTCGCAGCTCAAAAACGCCATGATCCAGAGGAGAACGGTTTCCCAAGGGTGCCCATGGCAGGGGATTTTCTCAAGGTACGTGCACTGTTTTGATATTTGTCTATATTATTGTTTTAAGGAGTTTGTCTGTTTTCTGTGAATAAGCTGATTTAATCATGAAAATATTGGTATTTATATCAAAAATTATCAATGAAAGTCACTGAATAGTTCTCAAGCCTACATGAATTTTTAATACAGATAATAGGAAATAAATTGGACTAGACATTTTACTTAATCATTTTGCAAAATATATTGGATATTATTTTGCATTTTATAGAGAACAGAGGAAATTGTGACAAAAGTAAGCAGTGCCATTAAAGAACACAAGGTAGTTATTACACCACTGTAATAATCATAAAAATTAAACAGAGTAGCCATTACTCCTTTACTGTGCACATCTTTTTCTTTTTGTCTGTAAATCAACAAGTTGCTGAATCAGAAACAAAATGGAAAACAGCGCATTATCCCTGGCAAAGGTTTAATGGTTGGCCACCAATGTTGTGCATAACAAACTTATATAATGTTGACAGAAAAAAAAACTTTGTACTTTTTCAAATCTTCCATATGGCACAACCCCGATACCAATCAAATAATTTAAAAAACTGAAATCTCTTTGCTCTTACATATGGTTATGTGTGTTTTTGTATTTATAAATATTTTTTTGCATGTTGGAACATTTGAAATGTCAGTTCCTTTCCAACTTGTCAGAGGTGATAGTATTAGCAAGACAAGGAGTAAAAATAGAATCACAGTTCAGATGAAAAGTAATGAAATTTGCAAAAGAAATCAAAATTCATTTTGACAATGTTCAAGTAGTTTTGAAATGGAAACACTTGTATCATTACAGAAATGGATAAAGGGGCACTTTGCTGGAAACTTGAAAGTAAGTATGTTTTGTTTCAGGTACTCTCCACGAGATTTACCCACCAAAATGAATTTCCCTCAAGAACAGGACCATTTTTTGCCTATATTCAAATATCATTGCTTGACCTGTCCCTTTCACTTATATTTAAGACCTTATACCATTTTTAATATAATGATTTAGATCTAAATGACTGCCCAGTCATTAAGATTAACATGTGCTTTTAGCATTTGTGGGCATGGATATCAACTGCTATAATGAAGAATAAGTTTACTCAGAAAGGACTTTGTTTAAGCATTTTCCTACTGAACTAGGAATTAACACCTAAAATATGTATCTGTTTCTTTCCTAGGTCACAACATTTCCAACACCACAAAAATCAGTGGAGAGGTGTTTGCTGGAATGTAAGAAAAGAGCAAAACTAGTGCCAGGAAAGGTAAAAAAACTTAACACTAAATAGATGCGGTATATATGATAAAATCCAAACAGTGTGTTATGTATTTTAATGTTTTTTATTCATTTCATAAATAGTAAAACATGATTTGACTGATAAGAATCTCTTAGTCTGATAAGTCTCAGAAAACTCCTGCTCTAATTTGAAAAATTGAGCAATATGTTTCTGCCCAAAAATGAAATTTGTAGATAATGGAAAAATTAATTTTACACCAGTCTTCTGAACAAGCAACTTGAAATAGTAATATTTTTACTAGTTTTATGCAAAGTTTAGTGATCAGTAGCAAAGTGCACCCTTTATGTATGTTTCCTCCAGTATTATTTGCAAAATCACCAAAGATTATATTTTTTACAGGGCCTGAGAGAACACCTACCACCAGACCCAACGCTCGTTAAAGTTCTGAGGAGCTTAGTCAGCTTTGGAAATGAAAACAGAAATCTGGCAGCCATTTCTTTCCCAACAGATGGAGATCTGTTATATGTATGTGTATGGGATGGTCAATTTCATTTCATGATGTTTTTTCATCTAAGTTACATTTTGTGTCATTTTGTTGTAATGTTTTACCCTTCCCTGCATTATATTGTTAATCTTAATAATCTATTAATTTGAAAAGTATTTTTCATGTACCAACACAATGTGTTTGTACATATACCCATCACATTAATTCATCTGCTCTTTAAGTTATGGCCTTTTTTTGTAAAATGTTCATTTTTCACACAATTGGCATTTTCAAGGCGTGACTTTGAAATTCCATGGTTCTGAAGCTCTTTGCTATTACATTTTCTTACATACATGTTACCTGATGTGCAAATTAAAATTTGGTGTTGATTTTGCTGTTAAACATTATGTGATATGGCATCTAAATTGACCAAAACCCTGTTCTGTACACTTTAAATGTTATTTTCTGCATTGTGTCTGTATATTTGACAGTTTTGCTGCCTTGTTTCTGAAGAATATTATTTGACTTAAACAAAAAGTACAACAATTTTTTTTTTTTGTTCCCCTACCCCTAATTGATTAAGAAATGTCATGAAACTTTACATAAAAATATATTCTCTCATATTCTAATGGAAATTAATGTGTAGTATTGTTACTCATATTGAGAAAAATTTAGACTTTTCAATTTCTACACTAACTGAGAGCATACTTGTAAATTCTGTTCTCTTTTTGTTATGCATGAACAGGTAGAGATATCTACAGAAGCAAAGATGGACATTTTGGAATATATACGCGATAACAAAGTAGATGTTAATCAGATAATTGCATGGACATGTGACATTGGCGAAACTATGGATTTTCTTCTTGAGAAACGAGTCTTGCTTTGGGACATTCGACCAGAATGTATCTTCATGGAAAAACAGGAGGTTTGTAAATACATGTGTGTGTGTGTGTGTGTGTGTGTGTGTGTGTGTATGTGCACGCGCGTGTGTGCAAAATATGCAAGTGCATGTGTGCATATTTTGGTGTGTGTTTAGTCAATAACATCATAGATATAAAACTTAAATTTAACCAGTTCTTTTATTTTATGACTTGTTACAGTACAGCTGTATATATTATAAAGATAAATATAAAAATTATAGCTGCTAGAATATCAAATAAGCACAGTTCAAATCATGTGGCATGCTCAGAAGAAAGACAAGAGTTGGAATTGCTTCTACTCTAGATCTTTAATTTCTATCCTTTATTATTGATCAATAAATCTTTGACCATTTTAGTGGGTCAAGTTTGAGTGGTCATCTGGTGCACACTAGATACTCTGAAGGCTTGCTAGCCTCCTTATTCAAAGCACCCCCTGCTCTTGTGAGTTTGTTTGCTGTTGTGAATTTGTTTGCTGTTGTGGGTTTATTTGGTGTTGTGAGTTTGTTTGGTATTGTTTGTTTGGTTTTGTGAGTTTATTTGCTGTTGTGAGTTCCTTTGGTGTTGTGTGTTTGTTGTAAGTTTCATGTGTGTTGTTGTGTCATCTGTTTGGTGTTGTGAAGATCTTGTGTGTTGTTTGATTGGTGTTATGAGTTTGTTTGGTGTTGTGAGTTTGGTGTTGTGAGTTTGTTTGGTATTGTTAGTTTGTTTGTTGTTACTTTGGTATTGTATTGTTTGTTTGGTGTTGTGAGTTTGGTATTGTGTTGTTTGTTTGGTGTTGTGAGTTCAGTTGGTGTTGTGAGTTTGTTTGGTGTTGTAAGTTTATTTGGTGTTGCTGTACGTGCTGTTTGTTAGGTGTTGTGTATTTGTTTTGTGTTGTTGTGTAGTTTGTTTTGTGTTGTGAGTTTCTTTGTTGTTACTTGTCCCTAGTGTTGTGACTTTTGTTTGGTGTTGTGACTTTCATGTGGTGTTGTACATAATCCATACAAGCTTCAGACATTATTTAAATCAATTTGTTTTAATGGATTTTTCCATTTTCTTTAACTAGCCTTTTATATTCTACATTCATATTGCAGAGTCTAGTTAACATTAGTGGATTTTAGATTTAAATAAATATTAACATTATTATCATTGTTATTAACATGATTTGAGATTGAATTGATCATATGTATGTCATTTTACTTAAAGAATCGTATGATCCCTAAAATTACCAATTTTGGAAGATGTAAGCATCTCCATGCAGAGAATAATGCTGAAGGCAGTATCTCCGACCCAGGGGTGATCCCTGCAGATTTTGAGTGGTAAGTTCTCAAATAATGAAATAAATAAAAGTATAGTTACACAGGCATGCAAACAGACAGACGTCTTATTGAAACAATATTTATCACTTGCCTTTTTAAATCATGATGCAGAGATTTTGTTAAGGAGGGGGGTCAGGAAGCTTTGCTTGTGGTTGTATTAAGTTTTTGTTTTATATCATTTCTCTGATTGGCCATTTCTGAATTCAATATAGATGCAAAGGATTATTTTTTCAATAAAAGAATAATATTCTCAGGTATCCAATAGAAATTCTTCTGGATTTGGATCATCCATACATCTGTTGTAAAACTAGCAGCTACATGCTAGCAATGCTCTGCTGGCAAATGTTCAATGAAATGAGTCCAAAGGATAGAAGAAGGCCTTTTGGTTGTGAACATGTAGATGAAGTAAGTTTAATTTCAAACTTTTAGCAAACTTTTAGCAAACTTTTTAATGGAAGACATGTTAGCCCTAATCTCTACAATGAGTTTTTTTACTTACTTAATAGTCACTTGATGTTTTAACTTAAAAGTTTTTGTAATATTGAATAATCAGTTACCTTTGCTATATAACTTTTAAATAAGTGCTTGTAATGATAACTCTTCTTTTAATAAATATAGTAGTTTTCTTTAAGTTTAGAACATTCATCTGTGCACCCCATAGCCAAACATCAACTAGAGCAGCTTTGAAAGTCAAAGAATTTACAAAGCAATATCCATACCAACAAATGCATTTACTTGCTTTNTTTTTTCTTTGCGATTTTTGCCTTTTATTCTTCTTTTTTTTTGTATTTTTCTGGGCTCAAGGATTGCCCGGTAACATTTTGCCCAGCACTACTGCTTTATTCTAAGCCGTCCTATTTGTGGGCACATTTAGGACGAAGTTAACCAAGATATGTAGTTACCCCTTGCATTTATTTACTGTGGGTTAAGCAGATAAACTGGCAGAATTATGTAGCGTACAGGTACATGTACCTTCCTTTTGGGAGATCAACCCCTTTGATGAATTTAGGATCTGGATAACGCCAATTTAATGTATAAAATGGCAGTTTGACACTTCAGTTTTATTTAGAACAGCAGCCTCTCAGTCCAAGACTTCGAAAGCCGATATACTCGCTGTTCGTGTGATCCAAACGTTGCCCATCTTCTATAATCCATAAATTCATCACTGCTATCACCCAATTTGCCATTACTACAATTGCATTGCACACCCGAGAAATGATAAATAAGGAAAGTATTTTTGATAAATCAGGGAAAAAATCTTGGTAAGAAGACAAACAGACATACTTTTCAGTATTTCTTGTGGACACCCTTAAAGACGAGAATTGCAGTTATCTAAACGAGGTGTGACAAGGATTTTTTTTTATTAGTAATCATAGAGGAATCACTTAGATGGTTCTTCGGTTAAGCTACGTTTCTGATGTGGAACATGCATGACTGTATATATATCAAGGTTAATATTGTAAGGGTTCTGTGTCATCCGTAGTTGCCAGAAATATTTCATCTTTGTGACAAGCATGGCACACATTTATATCTCAATATATAAATTAACACTGCCATAGACTGACAAGTAAATATCGATACTGAGTTTCCAGTTATGACGTTTCACAATCTGTTGCAAATAAATAATGAGATGTAATTAAAAACTATATCCAAATATTTCCAATTTTGCATCTTGGGATACCGTGCGAAAAGCATACTACCGTTTCAAGCATTACAAAGACGGCTGGTGGAAACACATTTATCTAAATATATAATTGTTTAATTGTATTACATGCAGGGGTACGCTTAGGCTCCGTTCACATGGAAAATCTATTTTCTATTCGCGGTATCTTGTGATCACGGTCTGTGCCCTGAATACCCCGCGGCGTAATTACTGGCAGCGCGAGCCAGTTACTTCCAAAGCTGTAATAAATTCTCGGCAGTGCTCGGAGTGATCACAAGATACCGCGAATAGAAAATAGATTTTTCATGTGAACGGAGTCTTAGAGCGCAAGCTGCACACCAATTGTCTATCATGATTGATTTAAACTTTCTTTGATCTTCAGACGAGGGTCTCTCTTCGTTCTCCCAGTGTCTCTATAACTATTAATTAGTAACTTTTTTCTTGCCGTATTATTACCTTGGAACTGTCTCAATATTGTGTTCATATTGTAAGGGTAGGGAGGAGCTATTTATTTGGTTGGTCGCTACATCCATATCATCTATGTCACAAGCATGGGTCAAAAATCATTTTAACATAAGATTTAACATATAAGTTATCTTCTCCAGCCTCAGCTTTGATAAATCTATGATAAGTCTACTAAGTTTCTAGTAATGACTATTCAATCTTTTCCATGGAAATCTTTCATATTTTGAATCAGGGAAAATCATGCAAAAAGCACACTGTTGTTTTCAGCATTACTTGGACGGCTAATGGAAACAGTTTTAAATCTGTGTCAGTTTATTTATATTTAATGCGGGCGTTCATTTAGTTGGAATAATGCAGACCCCTCATTCAGTGTTGTCTCATAATTGTCATGATCTTCAGACTACGGTCTTTCATCGTTCTCACAGTGCTTCTTTCACATTTTCTTTCACTCTTTCACATTTTCTTTCGCTTAGTGTTGTTTCAATTGTCATGATCTTCAGACTACGGTCTCTCGTCGTTCTCAAGGTGTCTCTTTCACATTTTCTTGAAATCACACATAGCTCACCTTCCCATGGCCACGTTAAGGCTAAGGCAGCAAGCTAAAGACTAAGGTACGCTACGCTCCGAATATATTTAGCAGGGGCGGAGCCAGAGATATTTTCTGACAGTCTTCCAAATTGTCTTTGTTGATCCATCCTCCATTTTTGAACGTCATTCGACAGAAAAATGAAATACCCGTCAATGTAAACTTAACTGACCGTCTTTCGGAAGACCCAGAGGACGGCCTAAATCCGCCCCTGTTTAGACTTAGTTAACATATTCATCTGAATTAACTTTGCCAGCATCAAATTTCTTAAGTGTATGTCAATACTAAGTTTCTTTATATGGTCATTCACAATTTGATGCAAATAAACAGTGAGCTATTATAGAATGCTATGTATTCAATAAAATTATTCTCTTTTTGCATCTGGGGATTCCATGCAAAAAGCGAATCATCATTTTCATCAATTTAACGGCTAATGGAAACACACAGTTCTAAACTTATAATTATCTAATTGTATTTCATGCGGGGTATCATTTAGGTCGCAGTCTGCAAACCACTCATCCATTTTAATCGTTTGTTATATTTTTACTGATATTCACTCCTCTGTCTCATGTTGTCTCTGTAACTGTAACTTTTTTGTCAATAAATAAACAAATAAATAAATAAATAAATAAATAAATAAAAATAAAAATTAATGGTGACTGGATTTGCTGGCCACCTTTATTCTTCTACTAAATACAAAGTACACATGACCATGTGGAGGGTGGGGCAAAATGTCTGAGACTACGGTATGCTTCGCTCCGAATATATTTTGACATTGTTCACAAACTCATCTGAACTTTTCCAGCATCAACTTTCATATTTATAAATGTATGTCAGTAATAAAGTTCTTATTGTGGCGATTTACATAATGAGATCATATAGAATATCATACCCTCGAGAATATTAGGTGCATAGGGTGTCATGCAAAAAGCATACGTACCATCATTTTCAGCATTGCTTCGATAGCTAATGGAAATACACAGCTCTGAAATATATAGGCTGTTATTTGTATTTCATGCGGGCGGCCGTAAAAATCACAGACTTCAAAAGTACAGAAAGTCTAAATAGTATTATGAGCCTGACTTACATAGACTGAAAATTAATGGCCCACTAATGACATAAAGTTTTGGCAAAAATGAGGATCAGTGGTCATGCCTTTAAGGGTGCATTCCCAGAGATTTAGATCGATCCAGAGATTAAGATTTAGATCGCCCTAACTCCCTGGGGGTTCACGCTAAATTGCAGTCAGCCGTGCGCGCACCATAGTTAACTACCCCCTTACAGCTTTTAAGCCTGCTAAGCTGACAGTAATCTAGTGAGACTCCCCACAGGGATAGATCGATCTAAAATCTATGTGAATGGGGTCTAAGATTGAAATAGGACAGTATACTACTCCAAGACTGTGCTGACACACAGTAAATGTGAACACATTGACATGGTAGAAGATGAGATTCACATCTCGCCTAAATTTAATGAGAATAAAATTGAGCTGATCTACTATTTACTACTGTACCAGAGGTTACAGACAAAGGCGGGCGGCTTTTTATCCTTCTAAATCCATCTTCTGTGGAGGAAGTGACCGACACAGTAAGACCGGTACCCCATTTCCAGAGATTAGATCGATCTACTTTAGATCGACCTAACACCCTAGGGGTTCACGCTAAATAGCTGTCAGCCGAGCGGACACGAAAGATAATTACCCCCTTACAGCTTGTAGTAGGCGGGACGGACATTTAAGCCGGATTATCTGACAGTAATCTAGTGAGACTCCCTGCGGGGATAGATCGATCTAAAAGCTCTGGGAATACAGCCTAAGATTTGGTTCAAGAAAGGTCTCATTACATTTAGGTGAAGGCCCAATAATGGATTCAATGATTTTCAATCATGAGTTAATTAAGTCAAAAGTATTGAATTTTTATGATATTTTTAGGATACGTCAGAAATGGACCAAGGAAGAAATGATTAGATCTTGGGGATGATATCCATTAATTACTGATTAATTATTAGTTTATTATTTATCTTGGCGGAAGTATGCTCTTTCTGATTTTTTTTTTTTTTTTTTTTTTTTTTTTTTTTTTTTTTTTT